TTATCTCATGTTATCCTCATGTTATCTCATGTTATCCTCATGTTATCTCATGTTATCTCATGTTCACTCATTGTAGCACTTTGAGATCTGTTGTGAATGTAAAGTGTCTTATAAATAAAACTATTAATATCCAGCATGTGTTGAGAAAGACCATTAAATTAAATTTATTACTTTAATAAAATATAATAACAGTAAAGACTTCGAGCCCATAAATCTACAACAAAGCATCATTTTTAAAACTTGAATAAAGATCAAATAAATGCTGAGTCACCTGATGATTGACGTGTTGCTTCATTGATGTGTACCGACTCATGACGTCACCTTTCAGCTTCTGGGTTGAGTTAGCTCTGCGGCCCTGCAGACAACAACAACAACAACAACAACAACAACAACAGGAAACGTGAGGCTGCAGCTGGGCGGAGGCTGCTCCACCGGAGTCGGGTAACCTCCTCTCACACGCACACTCACGTGCACGCTGTTTAGAGGAAGGACTTCCCGCGGAGGTTCAGTGCTCGGAGGCTGAAAGCTTCACTTATTTTAACTGGATTTAACTGGATTTAACTGGATTTAACTGGATTTAACTGAACTTTGGACAAACTGATCATTTTGTGGTCCCGCGCTGTGGTCACGTGTCTTTCTGGGAGCCAGGAAACCCCGCGAGGAGTTCAGGTGAGTCGTGTTCTGCACGACACAAGTGTTTGGAAGAAGAACACTCCGACCCCCTGAGGTCTTTCTTCTCTGATCAGCTGATCCTCATCTTTGACTCTTGTGACGAGAGGACACAAGTGAACAGGTAGGTCCGTTCGGTTCTGGATCAGCTCGGTTCACACCTGAACTCTGCGAGAGCGGTGGTGGACGTGGGCCACAACAGGTCCAGAACAGGTCTGCTGGTCCAGAACAGGTCTGCTGGTCCAGAACAGGTCCAGAACAGGTCTGCTGGTCCAGAACAGGTCCAGAACAGGTCTGCTGCTGACTTGTTGTTAGGTCCACATTTAAAGAAGTTGATGTGAATTTGAAATCTTGCTGTTCTTTCCTGCATGTTGGGCTTCTTCTGTGCACATGTGCACGTGCTTGCAGCTGTTGTGCAACAGTTTAAGGTAAAGACTTGATGATGTGGAACGTTTGAACAAGAAGAGTCTGTTTGTTGGAGCAATGTCTTCATGTTCTGTCACTGCATCTGCAGCAGCTCCTCCAGATGGACCACCACATCAGGCAGGGCCGGTCCTAGAACAAAAAGGGGGGCAGGAGATTCTGAGGGGACCCTGTGGAGGGATGTGCTGATGTAATCACAGATGCTTGATGTAATCACATTACTTTCTGTCAGTATTTTAATGAGACGCTCCATTCAATTCAGAACTACTTTATTAATCCCAAAGGGAAATTAAATGTTGTAACTCGTCATCCTAGTTTCATTAGAGTTGTTCTACATCAGGGGATTCAGGTAAAGCTCGCTGAGGTCCAGTTACTAAAGTTCCGTCCTCGTCAAAGGTCAGAAGTAAAGTCCAACTTTTGTGTCATGGTCCTGCATGTGCTCACATGTTCACCTTGAGCATGATCAGGATGTCCCATGTTCACCGTTAACAAAGTGCTCTTCATATTAAACAAGTCGCTCCGTAATGACAAATCCATTCCGGCTCTTTATTTCAGATTCAAGCAGAAGGTTCAGAATAAAACACGTGAAATGAGCAAACGGATCCTAATAAGACTTTTGTCTTAATGGAAGAGGTGTAAGAATTGAAGGCGTTCACTTAAAGTCAAAAAGTTAACATCTTTAGAAAACAATTTAAAAAGTGTCTCTTTTAGTCTAAAAGTGTAAAGAGAGCAAGGAAACATGTTTCTCTCTTTTTTTGCTTAAAGACACTCGGGTTCTGCCGTCAGAAGTGCTGAACCCAAGTGCACGAGGACGGCAGGAGCCTCGTGGAACAAATCCATATATTTAATTCACACAAAGAAAGAAGAAGGTGACGGGGCAGCGTGCTCCAGTGACCAGGACTGAAGACACAAACTCACCATGAGGACAGTCCTGGGACAG